AGGGGGGTGACCCCGCCGTTGACGACATGGCGGCCACTCGCCGCTCTCCATGCTTGGAGACCCCCCCTGGTTTTGCCGCCTCGCGTCTTTGCCGCCTACCGGAGCCTGCTGGTTGTGGACTCTGGAGCTGAGACTGTTGGTGCTGAGTCTGGGGGGTAGCTGAGACCAGAGGGTGAGGGGTTTCTAAGGTGCTGCGATTGGGGGTGCTGCGATTGGGGGTGCTTGCGACTGGGGGGTGCTGGTTCTGGGGGTGCTGCGACTGGGGGTGCTGGTTCTTGGGGTGCTGCGACTGGGGTGCTGACTCTGGGGGTACTACGAGTCTCCGTGGCGGTGGAGCTGTGGGTGACCCTGCTGTGGAGGTCCTGGAGCTGGACAGCCACCGCAGCCTGATCTACTTGAGACGGCTCGTCGCACGTAGGCGATTCGTACGTGAATCGTTCAGCGAGGCAGTCCTGGTGGTGGAGCGTACGGTCTTGCTGGTGCTAGAGATGTTAGTCCTGGAGGTACTGCTGGTGCTGGAGGTGCTGCTTGGTGCTGGAGGTACTAGAGGTGCTGCTGGTGCTGGAGGTGCCGGAGCTACTAGTCCTAGAGGTGCTACTGGTGCTGGAGGTGCTGGACCTACTAGTACTGGAGGTACAGCTGGTGCTGTAGGTGCTGGAGGTGCTGGAGGTACCTGGAGCTGCTGGTCCTGGAGGTGCTCGTATTGGAGGTGCTGGAGCTGCCGGAGCTGGTGGTGCTGTTCGTGCTGGAGGTGCTACTGGAGCTACTGGTAGTGGAGTTGCTGGAGGTACTGCTGGTGCTGGAGGCGCTGGAGCTGGAGGTACTGGGAGGTGCTGGAGCTGCTGGTCCTGGGAGGTGCTCGTACTAGAGGTGCTAGAGCTGTCGGAGAAGGTGGTGCTGCTGGTGCTGGAGGTGCTGGAGGTGCTACTGGAGCTACTGGAGCTACTGGCACTGGAGGTATTGGTGCTGCTGGTGCTGGAGGAGCTGGAGCTGCTGGTTCTTGCCCGCGCCGACTATTTTTCTACCCGCAGCCGCAGTCGTCCCTGCCGCCGCCTGACTCGGTCCTTCGCCGGGTTTCTTAGTCTCCCGTCTTCCACCGGCCTCACTCCACCTCTCATTGTGTTCACACCGACAGACCAGTCTTAGCCACAGCTACTGCTTGGCTCCTTGCTTGCCTGCTCCTGCTCCTCACACTGAGGTGACTGAGTCCCTGACTCAGCGTTGTGAGCCTAAGACTCGTGCTTCCACACCTGTTCGTGCTCGTCGTGTCACTTGTCCTCCGTCCTCCTGCTGTCCCAGGCACTCACGGTATGGCACTTCGTCCTTCCTCTGTTCCACAGCGTGTTGTCCTGCCTGAGCCTCCCGCGTCCTCTCTTCCGCATGTTAGTGACCCTGAGTCCGACATTGCTCGTGCTGCCAGTCCTACTGTCACTCGTCTCCTCGCTAATGTCGTCACTGACCCAGACCTTGAGTCTACTGAAGCGTTTGCCCTAGTCACTGAGCTAGTCGACTTTGCAGCTAGGAGTCGACTCGACTACGTCACGAGTCTTGTTACTGAGTCTGACTCTGTCTGTCCTTCGTCCATCGGGGGTGAGCTTGCCCTTAGGAAAGACATCCTTGAGGACAGACAGTTTGAGATTGAGTGTCTTGTGGCCACTTTGCCTCGTTTCGCATCCATGTTGCTTTGCCGTGAGGGAGACCCGGATGCACTTGACGTCCCTACCCCGCGCTCTTACGCTGAGGCGATCGCGGATGAGTACTCCTCTCAGTGGCAGACAGCCATGGACGCAGAGATGGCATCCTGGAAGTCCACAGGCACCTACGTCGACGAGGTTCCTCCTCCTGGGGCGAACATAGTCGATGGCATGTGGATTTTCAGAGTGAAGCGGCCTCCGGGTTCTCCGCATGCCTTCAAGGCGCATTACGTTGCTCGAGGCTTCAGTCAATGTCAGGGGGTCGACTTCTTCCATACCTTCTCCCCCACCCCAAAGATGACCACTCTTCGGGTGCTGCTGCACGTCGCTGCTAAGCGTGACTATGAGGTGCACTCTCTTGACTTCAGTACATCTTTCTTGCAGGGCAGCCTGCACGAGGAGATCTGGCTGCGCCGCCCACCTGGCTTCACTTGGTCGTTTCCTGCAGTTACCCAGTGGAGCCTCCAGCGGCTAGTCTATGGTCTCCGCCAGGCGCCCCGAGCATGGCACGACACCCTTAGGACTACACTTGCGGCTCTTGGGTTTGTTCCTTCCTCTGGTGGCCCGTCGCTGTTTCTGCGCACAAACACTACCCTGCCGCCGTTCTACATTTTTTGCTACTGCTAACACTGAGGCGCTGGCCTTAGTGAAGGCGGAGCTACAGGAGAGACACACCTGCACTGACCTGGGTGAGTTGTGTAGCTATCTTGGCTTGCATATCACGCGGGACAGAGCACGGCGCACCATCACCCTGACTCAGTCACACATGGTGCACCAGGTCCTTCAGCGCTTTGGCTTCCAGTTTTCCTCACCATAGCCCACTCGTCTGTCTACCGGCCACTCGCTCTCAGCTCCACCTTCGGACGAGTCCGTAGAGCCGAGTGGTCCGTATCCAGAGCTTGTGGGTTGCCTCATGTACCTGATGACGTGCACACGACCTGACCTCGCGTACCCTCTCAGCCTCCTGGCTCGCTACGTGGCTCTCGGTAGACACTGAAAGGTGCACTGGGATGCTGCGAAGAGGGTACTGCGTTACTTATGCAGTACATCGTGCATGGGGCTCGTGCTTGGAGGACAGGGTTCAGTGGTACTTACAGTACACTCCAACGCTTCTTGGGCCGACGACCAGGCGAGTCAACGTTCGTCACAGGGTTACACCTTCGTGGAGGTCTTGTCTCTAGTTTTGTCTCTTGAAGGTCCACTCGTTCTTCTTCTGTGCTTGGTTCCAGCTGTGAGGCCGAGATCTACGCTAGGGCCATGGCTGCACATGAGCTACGCTGGCCGACCTACCTGCTGATCGACTTGGGGGAGCGGCCTCGTTCTCCTCCAGTTCTGTACGTCGACAACAAGACAATTCTTGCCTTGTGTCATGAGTAGAGGCTGGAGCACATAACGAAGCACATTGCTCTTCGCTATTTCCTTGCGCGTGAGCTGCAGCAGCGTCGTCAGGTCCGCCTTTCCTACGTGGCCTCGCGGGCCAATACTGTTGATGTGTTCACCAAGGCCCTTGTGTCTGGTGATCATCAGCGTTTCTGCACTGCTCTTGGGCTTGTGCCCACTCTGCCTCACCTGCTAGTTGCTTGACTTGCTCTTGTTGTACACTTATATATATCTTTGTACCTGCTTGTTGACTCTTGCTAGGTTGTGACAAGTGTACGTCCTTGCTATTATAACTGTGCATGTGAACTTGTCTTGTGTCCGCTTGCTTGTGCTCCGATTGTATGGTGTCCTTGAGATCCACCCTAAGCTTTGCTCTGCTTTGTTTTCTTGTTTGACTGGTCTTGTGACCGTCTCTTGTGTTTGCTATCTGCCACATAGCCTATGGGGGTTTGTCAAACTATATGTTTGTGTTCTGTCTAGGCTATAGTGGGTTAGCCTACAAGGGGTACAACACTTTAGGGTTAGTACTTGTACCCAGCTCATTCATAGTTCATCCATTCCTTCACAGTTATTATGACAGTGCAATATTCACTCGCTTTCTGACTTGCACCCGTAATACCAATTAAACAATGCCTTAGTTGTTTCTTGCCGACCCGATCATACGCTTGAAAAAAAAAACGCTTGAGCCTCAAGGCCAGCACTGCATCGTAGCTAACATATTTCGCGTCATGAGCATTCGCTGTGGCACTCCTTGTTTGCTCATGGATTCACTCACATTGCATATTCTCCTTTCCTAGTTTATGGAGTCCGTGTCGGGTATTGAGTTGAGAAATACACTTCAACAACATATGTGACTGAATACTGGAAGGAAAATGGCCCTCAGGCAGTTCTTGTGGTCTTCTGTGACTGGATACGGGGCATTCATGCTGCTCCTCCCACCCTACCTTGGCAGCGTTTGGTTCTTGCTCCTGCTGCATCGTGTGGTCAACCCCAATCTGCAAATCAAAATCGTAGAAAGATGGAAGTGAACAGTTGCTTGATTTTTGAAGAGAACCATCACACGTGCGACTCGCAACAAATGTCTATCTGAATTTCAGGTTGATAAACCACCTGGGCGAGTTCAGTAAGAGGTGCGAATTCTTTTTTCCGATTATTTTCTTTCGGGAGTTCGCTTCCGTTTGGTTATGAATTTAGCACTGCAAAGATTGTGACTTTTGTGTCCTCTCAAAAGTTTGGTTAGAATCTAAATTGATTCAGACTCGACTGATAGGACGCATCGCATGCAGGTCCCGTGGATGTTTGAACAGACAGCCGTACCATTTTTGTTCTGTAGCAGGCACTTGCGATATACACCTGAGGGGTCAGGAGTTTTCAACGATGTTCGCAAATCTACTGGATTCGAGACATGACAAATGATGCGGCTCGCTCAACGACCTCTCCCCCTAACAGAATGGCTCTCCATTGGTCTGGCGACGACATGTCCAACCCACCATGAGACCCATGCCATGTGACCACGCCCATCTGCGGAAGCCAAACCGCATGGTGCAGTTGCATCCTCCTCCATGCATCCGCATCCATGCATCGGCCTCTGTCGCAGTCAACATTTCAGGGGTATCCTCAGGCAGTCTGTGCACTGCGCTTCCAGCAGAAGTATTTTCTGTTGCGAACTCATCTTTTCACTAAGTGTTTGAGAGGCATCAGCTAGAATATGCCAGCCAACACAAGAGGCTCCTCTCTTTGACCAAATTTGTGCTAGCAGTACCACACAACAACAGAGCCTCACATTACTTTGATAACCAAGCCCCCTGAGATCCACCATACTGTACTGACTTCATTCTTTCATTCTTTTTTCTCCGCCATTTTTTCCATTGAGATTCACGTAGTCCCTAACAAAGCAACATACTACTAGCCAGGCAAGCACGCGCCATGGCCGTCCCATCGCAGCGCACGCTGCGCGTCGTCTGCATCTTACTCCTCGTCGCCCTCCCCTGCCTCGTCGAGGCAGCACGGAAAAAAAAGAAGGGGGACACGCCACCCTTGCCGTCCGTTCGCTTCTACAAATCAACAGTCAAAGTCTCTTACGCCGGAGTAGCGAAAATTCCCTCCACGGCCACGCAAGGCGCGGCTGTTCAGAGCCGACAAGTGCTGGAGAATCCAAGAAGTCAAATCGGCGGCCGCCGTCTATTGGAGGACGACAGCATTGATCTTGGGACTCCCGGTACCGATCCGTCGGCTACCGACCCTGCTGTGGAGGATGGGGAGCCGAACCTGGACTTTGATCCTCGGCCGCTGCTCCCGCCCGCGGAGCTTACCGGAGCCACCGCGGTTAGTACTCTCACCTTTCTGCGGTTCATGTTCTCGCGGTTGTCCGCGATTAGTTTCCTGGAATTCCTTCACATCAAGTCGCGGTTAGGATTCTCTCTCTCCGCTTGCATGCCGCTTATGCGAATATGACAGTCGCGGGCATCGCGTGTGCGGTCGCCGTGCCGAGCCACTCATCCAGGACCGTCGACAATAGCAGTGACATCCTGCCTAGAGAGTCCGTACCTGACATGTCTAATGGTCAGCGGGTTACTGGGCCTGATGAGTAGGCCAGCAAACTGCTCGCGAGATTACTAGGTACATTCGCAATAGGTACATTTTGCTCGCAGTTGGTTCGACCATTGTTGTGACGTATCGACTTTATGTGACAGTCGTTTAATTCGGAATCGCGACAGTCGCGACAGCTCTAGCTCCGACACATTGGCGGCCTAGAGGGATAGTTGCGCGTCGGCGTAGGTGTCAGCTTAGGTGGCGGCACAGCCTGCGACACCCATGCCGCATCAGAGGGTCGTTTTCCGTGTGACGCAGCACTGTCGCGGCACGGGGAGTCGCACGCTGTGCAGTATTATAATGCACGGGCGGTCATGTAACGGTTTTCGCGCTTGCTCTTTCTATGAAGTGTGGAGGGTTTGTTGTGAATCGGCGCTTACAAAGCGTTCGACGCGGAAGGGTCGTCGTACGAAGCACTGTCGTCTCGCGCGTTCACGTCGACTCAGAAACACGCGGAAGGGTCCTCATACGAAGCGCTATCGTCTCGCGCGCTCACCTCCCCGCTCTCATACCCTCCTTCCCTCCATTTCTCCCGCGCGCGTTTGTACGCGTTACAGGACCTCGAGGCGGCCAAGAAGAAGAAGCCCAAGGCGTTTCTATCGCTGACGGTCGCTCCCTTCTCGCCGTCCGTCCTCAAGAGCGGCGTCACGGCCAAGCAGACCGCCTCCACCGGCACCGCCGCATACGCAAGCGACTCGAGCGTGCCCGACCCGTCCGTGTGCGCCGGCAGCAACTACGTCGTGCAAGTCGTCAACTGGGGTAGGTTCAACCGGGCTCTCGTCACTCGCCTCCTTACTCGAACTTTCCCGTGCACGCCTCGTCTCTTTCCTCTTTCCTCGTCTCCTGCTTCTCTCTGCTCCCTCCCTCCGTCCTTCCTCACTCCTCTCCCTCTTCCGCCTTACTCCATTATCCCCGCAGCCATCGTGGTGTTCGACGGCAGTGGCAAGACGCTCACGGCGCCAGTGGCGCTTAACGAGTCGACTCATACTCCTCCTCCTCCTTTCTCCTCCCGCATTCTCTCTCTCTTTCTCCTTCTCTTCCTCCCCGCAGCCATCGTGGTGTTCGACGGCAGTGGCAAGGCGCTCACGGCGCCAGTGGCGCTGAACGAGTCGACTCATACTCCTCTTCTCCTCCTTTCTCCTCCCGCATTCTCTCTCTCTTTCTCCTTCTCTTCCTCCCCGCAGCCATCGTGGTGTTCGACGGCAGTGGCAAGGCGCTCACGGCGCCAGTGGCGCTGAACGAGTTTCTGGGCGTGAACCCGTACCGCGGCACCACCGTGGGCGATCTCGTCACCAAGGCGTCGTGCGTGTACGACTCGGCGACCAAGCGCTTCTTCCTCTCCGCCGCATGGCTGGTACGGTTTCTCCTCTCCGCGCCTTGTTTCGTTGGTTCGGCTGCTTGTTTGGTCCGATCTCGTGGCCAAGGCGCCGTGCGTGTACGACTCGGCGACCAAGCGATTCTTCCTCTCCGCCGCATGGCTGGTACGCCCATTGTTTATTTCGTTGCAACGGCTGTCGTGGGTCGCATGATATGCTCTCTGTCTTTGGCTGGTTGTATTTGAAACAGATTCTCCTAGTTCTTGGCTGCTCTTACTCTCCACCGCACACGGCTCTTCATGCTCCCGCTTTCCTCCTTTTCCCCCTCCCTTACACTTCCTCTTCCCCGTCTATCTTCCGCAACAGGCGGGCAGCTCTAACGCGTACGACAAGTTCGGCCAGACGCGCACGGACAACAAGGGCGTCTCGCGCGGCTCGGGCATCGTCGTCGCCGTCTCTGCCGCCGAGAAGCCGCTCGACGCATGGAGCGTCTACTTCGTCGGAACCACCAACGACGGAACCAACGGTCCAGATGATCACCTCGCGCCGCTCGCGTACACGGGCGAGCTTTTCTACAACACGTACCCGCGGCTCGGCGTGGACGCGAACGGAGTGTATGTGACGACGCAGCAGGCGACGTATTCGAATGTGGACGACGTGTGGCAGGGGAGCAACATCTTGTAAGTTGCTCTTGCTGTTGCTGTTTCTGTTAGTGAGAATGTTCGTTGGTGGCTGTGGCTGTTGGTATACGACGGTGGACGACGTGTGGCAGGGGAGCAACATCTTGTGAGTTGGATGGGGCGCTCGTGAGTTAGCGTGGTTCCGTGGGTGCAGCAACGACTTTTGAGGCGCCTCAAAAATTCCGTGGGTGCAGCAACGTATTGTGCTGTGGCTTTGGCTTTAGCTTTAGCTGTGTCTGTGGCTGTTGCTGTTGCTGCGTTGCCTTAGCGTTCGTGGACATGCGTGTGTGGGTCTGTGTGTGTATGCGTCTCAACTTTCGTGCATCTGCTCCCTCTCATCCTTCATCCCTTTCTCGCTATCCTCCTTCCCCGTCCCTCGCCTTCTCCTCCCTGTCCTCTCCCCCCAACAGTGCATTCAGCAAGGCCGCCCTCCTGAAGCAATCCGACATCACAGCCGTCCGATTCGCGCTCCCGCGCATGTCCCGCACGGATCAAACGGTCCTCCAGTACTGGACCATCGAGCCGGCCGCCTCCCCCGCGGACGGCAAATACGACCTAACCAACAAGGGCACCATGTGGTTCGGAGCCTACGACGTCTCTTGGGCCATGTCCGGCCACTCAGCAGTCTTCGCCTTCGCGCTCACCAACACCGTCTCTCTCTCAGCCAACAACCCCACCCTCACGCTCCTCACCGCCATCGCCAACTGCTCGTTCTACTACGACTGGTCGACCTCTCAGCAGAAACCCGGTCTCGCGCCGCTCGCTGAATCCTACAACAAGGATACGCCGCTGATTGTCCCTCCCAGGAGCTCGTCGGTGGCGTTATCGACGGGGTTCCTGTGGATGGTGGTGCCGACCGGGTCGACCATGTCGCCGAATTCCGAGGCGGGGTTTATGCTGGTGAAGATGAAAGCCACGGTTGCCAAGGGCCCCTCGCCCGCGCTGAACCTCGCGGTGGCGAGCGCTATGATCTACAACGTGCCCATGGCCAACCTCATCGCTCCCACCATTGCCTTCAACAAGTAAGTCGCGTTTTTTGTCTAGCGAACATTGCGTTCGTGTTTGAGTGGCACGCGCAGTGCTGCCAAGGGCTCCTCGCCCCCGCTGAACCTCGCGGTGGCGAGCTCTATGATCTACAACGTCCCCATGGCCAATCTTATTGCTCCCACCATTGCCTTCAACAAGTGAGTCGCACTCGATGAGATGGGCTGCATGCCTTGCTGAGGCATCGAGTTGAGCCGAGTTGCATGCGTTGCGCTGCGCTGTGTGCGATGAGTTGACTTATATGTGTTGCGCTATGTGCGATGAGTTGACTTGCATGTGTTGCGCTATGTGCGATGAGTTGACTTGCATGTGTTGCGCTATGTGCGATGAGTTGACTTGCATGTTGCGCTATGTGCGATTAGTTGACCTGCATGTGTTGCGCTATGTGCGATGACTTGACCTGCATGTGTTGCACAATGTGCGATGACTTGACCTGCATCCGTTGCGCTGTGATCCCCTGACCGTGCTATCTTCTCCACCTGTCTCTCCCCCCTGACCAGGCTAGGCAAGGGCATCATACTGGCAACGCTCGTTAGCCCCAACAACTACCCCACGGTGGGCTTCGTGCGCGTCACCAAGGCGGGAATCAGCCCTAAGGACCTCAAGTTCTACACCGTTGTGCAGAGCTCTGCACCCCTTGACGTCGACTCCCAAAGTGAGTTCCCAGCCTTTTCTAAGGTGTCTCATGATCTGTCTGTTGAGACAACTGCTACACTCCTTACGGTCCCTCTACATGGTCTATACCCTCCACACTCTCCACAATCCCTCCTGATTTCTGATCTCTCTCGTCCTGCTTTTCCTATCCCTATCACGGACACGGTGGCGTTCGTTCGCTACAGCACCACACAGGGACTGGAAAGTGAACTTAGCTATATCTTAGGCTACCCCCCCTTGCCCACACGCCAGGCTACTCGGCAAAGAGCACTGACCTGGTGGCGTTTGTGCACTCAACATCTATCCCTGTCCATGCACGGCACCACACAGCACTGGTTGACAGTGGGCGAGTGCACTCAACATCTATCCCTGTCCATGCTCGACCCCCCTACCCCTTCTCCCCCCAGGCTACTCAGCAAAGAGCACTGACACGGTGGCATTCTTTCTTTTGATAATTTCCGCTTTCTTGTGTTGCTTCCGGTCCCCTTCCCCGCACGCCAGGCTACTCGGCAAAGAGCACTGACCCGGTGGCGTTTGTCCGCTACGGCACCACACAGGCGCTGGCAGTGGATGCAACGGGCACCGTGTGGGCGGCAGGGCAGTACGCCACCGAGGAGCGCACCACCCGCAACAACTGGGCCACCAGCCTTTTCTCCGTCACCCCCTAAAACGAACTATCCATACTCCTGAGAAGTGACAGGTTGAAAGGAGAGATTTGGGTCTGGTGTTGGTACTGACTGGTTTTTCTCGGGAGGTGGTATTTGGAAGCCTGCTAAGAGGTTGTGACGTGGAATGAAGGCATGCTGGATCCAAGGTGAATGTGGGCTTGGGTGGGAAGTTTTCTGTTGTTCTGTGAGGGTGTGCTGTGCTTGCATGCGTTGGGTTGGGTGGCTCCTCCTACTCCCACGCATAGCTTATTGTATTCTGGAAGACTATATTTCCCTTCAAAGGGTTGTAATGTAGAAACCAGTGTGGAATAATCATTTTTTGTGTAACTAAATTGGTGGAAACTGTGTGACGTTCGGTTAATCGAATGTGTCTTCGTTTGTGGATAAAAGTATGGGGTTGTGCACGAACTTGATGATGCTCAAACATACAGCAAAGCACACGAAGTGAACCCTTGTTTAGAATTGCTACAAGGAGGTTTGTGCATTAGGAACGGCCTTACAGAAAGGTTAGGTTAGTAGGCATGTAGCTCCATCTTGCTCGATGGATTCCTTCATATATCGGGGTTCCAAGTTGCCTGGTAAAATCCCAAACGAGCACGTCTCCCAGCCGTTCGCAAGATTGCCCCCGACTCCTGGCCCCTGACCGAAAGGGCCACTGTTGTTTCTGTGTGGGCCAAGAGGGCCTTGGCAGCCTGGCTCCGCGTGGATCCATGAGACTCCAGACTGTCGCCGTTCGAGTGTTGGGAGTGGCAGTCTTTTCGCTCAAGATGAGAGCAACAACAAAGGCGTCTCGCTGTTGCCGACAACTTCGACTGGGCTCCATCCAAAACCACCACTCCTGCGCGACAACTTTCGCCACCGCCCAGCCGCTTGCGGAAGTTTTTTGTAATGAAATTGATCTCCTGCTGGCCTGAAACCAGTTGTGTCGCCAACATTCCCAGGAGCAGCAAACAGCGGCCGGAGGATCCACAATTTTTGCTAGCTGGGACAATCCAGGCATCTCTGAAATCGACCCAGTAAAAACCTGAGACATTGCACAGAATGCCGACATAAATCAGGATCTAACTGCCTCATATTTGAGTAGGTGCGAGCGGGGGTGGAGGTCTGACGGGAAAATATGCCACAAGTAACCAACTTGGAACTCGATAACGTGAATGGTAAAAAAAAAACGCGTACGGTCACTGTATCGGGTTTTCTGACGGGTTTGGTAAGCGGGGTCACGGATTCAGTCACTAACAACAGGTAAAAAATCACGCGAATGGTCACACATGTAACTCCCGCCAAAAAAACTTGAAACTCAACAAAATTCCCGCTCGCGCCCAACCAATCTGCGAACTTGTAAAAAAACTAAAACCCAATCGGAATCGGATGCGGTTTGGGAACGGATCAACCCTAAACACCTGGCGAGTTACGTGTTTAGGGTTGATCATCCGAAAATGCATCCAGGTTCTTTCTGGGTTTCATTTTGTTTTGGCGGGAGTTTCATCTGTGACCATTCGCGTTTTTTTTTACCAGCTGATTGTGACTGATTCCGTGAAACGCTTTATCAGTCGCGTGAAAACACCCTTTGCAGTGACCGTACCCTTTATTTTTTTACCAAAAATGTTTTCGAGTCCCATGATGGTTACGAACGGCATATTTTCCCGAGGTCTGACCGTTGGGATTCGAAAATACAGTGCAGGTTAGAACGAGGCCGTCCTCGGAATGAGGGGTCGCAGCAGGAACCAAGTCATATTATGAGAAACCCTTCCCCCTCGAAGGGTTTTGGGTGCCTCACGAGGACCACATCTGACTTGCTTGCTGGAAATACTCGGTCATAATGTGGCATAACTATAGGGATACCCTCGATGCAGTCAAAAAAAGCTGGCTGCCCTGACCACAACCGCCCACAGCAAGGCCAGAGAGTCGTAATCAACAAATTAACGATGTTCGTTCAGAGTTCGTGGCACAGTAACAGTGTTCGGGTTACTGTGGGCGAACATGCGAAGAACACATGAAGTGGTAGTGGTGGTGGTGGTGGTTGGTAAACTGTGAAGTGCCAATTCTTTCCATCTTCTGATCGACCAGAATTGCAGCCTGGAAAAGGATGACCTGTGTGGGCGGGTGTTTAAAGCTCGCGTCTCTAATTTCCAACCGTTTAACACTTGGTTGGGTTTGCCAGGGTTTGATTGGGTAACGAAAGTCGAAATATTTGACGAGTGGGCGAAAAAACACAGCGAACTCCAAAAGATCGAGGCCAAAACAAACCAGGGTGGGTTGGTTTGGGGGGAAACCGAGGCAAGGGTGACAGGTTTGGTCCTGGGTTCTGTCAACGTTCAGTTCAGAGTCTCATATTTTTGGGAGTTGTAAACACTTGGTGTGCACGGGGAAGTGTGCGACAGCCAACTTTCCCAACCACCCCTTGCTTTGGTGTGCTTCGCGAAAAACTCTGCTGTTACCGGATTCCAACCGTTTAACACTTGGTTGGATGGCAGAAATATGAGACGCGAGCTTTAACGTTCGCTGCTTAAGTACCGGACCCAACCAGCTTTGGAGCTAAATTGAACGTCACAGAACAAGAAGCACCTCACTATACCGAATGAAAAGCAATTTGCGGCGCGCTATCCCCCCTCCTATGCATTCGCTCGCCCCCTCTCCCATCTGTCCTGCTAAATTCCCAAGCACCAATCTTCATGTTCCGAGTCGGAAAGCAGAGGCGCAATAATCAGGAATGGGAACAAAACGATGTTGCACAAACCACAGTACCTGAGGTGCCCATACGCCCATTGCCTCAAGTCTTTGATATGTTCCCCGTAGCCTTGATTTTCCAATAGAAGAGAGAAAGATTGCGCGGGAATCTCCTGAATGGTTTCATTCTGCCAGTCAAGCGTTCACTTGGAGCCGTAGTATGTCACTGTCTACGACTGCTCGAGTCTCCGCTCTCAGTTAATTATTCGCCGTATTAGGGACTCGCCTCGACTGAACAGGCATGCTGTACGTATATGCGTGCAATGCAAGAGACATAACAAGACAAGAACTTCGCAAGTAGTCAGAATGTCGTCAATATCGGCGATAGGTCAGAACCAGGCGGCTTGACGTGACCCAGTAAGCATACAAGACGGCGACGGCTATCGCGTACAGGATGGGGTCGGCGGACAGATGGTTGGAGTCGCCGGTGGGTCCGGGCGATATCGTGTCGCGCAGCCATTGGATGCCGAACGGAGCCATCAAGCAGTGCACCAACCCTGCTTGCAACCGCGAGTTCAACCGTAAAGAGCGGAAGTAGGTCGTAAGCAGGCGATAATCGTGATCGATAGGTCCTAATTAGTGATCGCTGCCTTGATTCATCCCCCCCCAGGAGATTCTCTCAACTCGATTGTATCGCCTTTACTCGAGCACGAGCCACGGTTAAAATCTTGTTTCGTTCGTTCCTGAATGAAAACCCGTCCACTCAACTCCTCTCTTTTCCCCCGTTGGTTCCACTCCACAGGCACCATTGCAGGTGCTGCGGGAACGTGTACGGTATCGAGTGCACCCAGTGCATCCTGCCGCTCAACCCTATCACCGCCATGGTACGTTCCACGTACAGCCCGATTCGGGTGTCTCTCGTCGCGAGTGAACACTGCGACGCCGGCAGGTTTCGTCAACACTCATGCGAAAGTCTCCCACCTCCGTCATTTCGTGAATCGGTGTCGTTATGATCCAAAACCACGTGCTTTTTGTTATTTTGTTTTTTATTTCTCGATATTTCCGTTACCTGCAGATCGAGGAAGGAGGAGAGGCCATCGAAAGCCTGCGTTTTGTGTTTCGAGGTAACCACACACTATGATCTTCGCTTATTGATCAGGCTCTTTGCTTCGTCCCCTTTCTTGCCTTTCCCCGCGTGCCCTTGCCCGCTGTTTCGCTCCCTGTTCGTAGCACAACCTAACCCTGCTTCTCGTTGATAGCTTACGACGCTTCGTTACAAGCTCCCTCTTCTCACGCCAACTGCTTCGTTTCCTCCGTGTCCGCAGCGAGCGGTCGAAGAGGGTTACCCGTTGGGTCGCTTTCTTCACAACGGCTCCTCCGACTCGTTGGTCTCTGTCGCCGATGGCGACGATAACGACGGCGACGGCGATAACGACGAGGTTGACAATGAGGAGGAGGATGACGGTGACAACGGTCGCCATCGTAGGCACTATGTTGACGACAACGATGACCGTTATACTCGTTATAATAATCATCGTGACGATTATGGCGGTGCGATCTCCGACGAGGATAACGCGGAGGACTTCGCGTCGGATAGACGTCACAAGGCGATGCCAACGCGTGCGAATCGCATCCTCGGGAATCCCGAGGGCGCGGACGTCAGCAGGGCACGAAACGACCACCTGTGTGACGACGGCAGCAGTCGCAGCTGGAGCTGCGAAAACTGGCGAAGCCAGCGGCGACAGGACTTGCTCGGAAGCAGCAGAAACGGCGGTAACAAGAATCTACGGAAGTAGGCAGGGAGCAGCAGACACGGGATGTCAGCCCGAGCGAAATCTCGGGAAGTCGTCCGGGAGCCATGGTTTTTGACAAGTGTAGGAGCTTGGATCACAGAGACAAGGTGGCTGCGCGAGTCT